CTCATTTGGTGATACCCCGACTTGAGGTGGATCTTAAAGAATATTGCAGCACCTGGAAGTTGATTGAATAGGTTGTCGACACGGGGTAAGGGACACTACTTGTTGTTGGTCACTTAGTTTAGTTCTCAATAATCGATGCAAATGCGAGGAGTTCCATCATTCCTCTTTGTGAATAAGATCGGAGCACCCCACAGAGAAGAGCTAGGCTAGATAAACTTCTTTTTCTATAATGTCAAGAGTTGGTGATGTAGTTCCTGAAGCTCGATCCTATTCATTCATCCAAAGGATATGTCGACAAGTTGAGTTCCAAGAACTAGATTGATGGAGCAATCGACATCTTGCCTGGGTGGTAGTCTTGTTTGTTCCTTGGGGAGGATATTCGAAAAGTTACCAACGATATAAATGGTTTGAGGTGATGGTCCAGGATCCATCCTCCTACGTACCATAAGGGTTAGAATAAAACACCACTTGTAAAATAAACTTTTACTTCTAAGGTGTATGCATCAGAGAGTTTTTAAAATAATTCTTAGTGTTTTCTACTAGTATGTTTCCTAAACTTGTCTAATTAGCAGATGATTTTTTATGATTATAGTGACTAGAATCTAAGACTTTTACTATTTGATTTTAGGAAACTATTAATGAGGGATCTCTCCTAGAATTGGGCTCTAATACAATTTTTATGACATCCCAACTACCGAGTGGGTAAAAAGGCACGTAGAGAACTCAATAGATTTTGAGTGCAAAATAAAATTTTTTACATTAACGCAGAATTTAGAGATTCCTTGCAACCTTCTAAGTTCGATTCCCTATAATAAGCCATAAGTTGGTAATGTAATACAAGATAGGCTCCTTACTAGAAGTCTCATCAGAGTGCAAAATAACTAGAGTACTATCAAGAGTCTGAAACTTGGTCTAGCTAGACTCCAAGAGGTGACTCACAGAGCAAATCCTTAACTTCCTCAACACTTGGAGGAGCACAGATTAGGGGTGAGTTCCATGTAAACTCAGTAAAGGAAACAATATTTGAAATCACATGACTAAGGTTTAAAGTGTAAGCATCTTGAATAAAGCTTATATACATATTAACTTAGAGTTCATCACAGAATAGAGCCATTAAACCGTACAAGAAACCATTGTCTTTATGAAAACCCAAGTGAACATATATTCAACATGATAAAAAAATCATCTTAAGGAGGTCCATTTTACCAAGAATACTCAAACAGAGATGTTGGACAAGAGGATTATTAGAAAGTGTGACATCTCCAATGCAAATTAAGGCATAAGGGTGCTATATACAAAAATAGATTAGGAGTGCATGATTAAATTATATGCAGCGGAGCAAATTATTACAAATCTCTCACCAAAATATATGAGTTCTAATTATACATCTATATAACTGAGGCCAGAAGTGACAAAATACAAAATATCAAAATATAAAAGGGTCACTTCTTTCACTATGCGATTGGACTCATCAGAATATGGGACAAGTCATGCACTCAAGGTTTGTGGATCCACGAGATCCTCGTAGACTTCAAGGAGTAGGTCAGTGGTCAGTTCCTCACTATCTTCCTCATCTAAGGGAGCATGGAAAAGATGAGTTCTATATACTCAGTAAGGAAAATAGTATTTAAATAACATCGTAATATTTTAAAAGTGAATAATTATGTCATTGATACTTACCAACATGTCACGTTGGGGCTTTTCTTACTTTATGAAAATAATTTATTTATTAAAGAAAAACATCATATCATAGTCACGATAATCAAAGTAAAATCATATTCAACAATAGAGAAAATCAAATGAATCATGAAATACTCAGATTTTCATGTCATACTTCACGAAGTCATTCGACTTCCATCTCTGAGGGCAGATACGAATTTTTGACTATCCATGTGGAATGACCAGATCAGATATATAATGACAATTTGCTCAAGCACAATTCTAGCTTGTCAAACCATGGTACGATCCATGACCATGGCTGTAGTAACCATAGTGGTCCTATCAGCTATTCTATAGCCACGACAGTACTTAGCCAAAGGTGACCCCTAACAGATCTTTGCGTCACCGCTCTTTTCAGAGGATATGCTGTCATCCACATGGAGTAGTCCTCTCTCGTCAGAGGATATGCCTTCATCTGCAAAATTTTACCCCATTTTTATGTTTTTCTCTTGAAAATTATTTTTTAATAAAATGCAGCAAAAATAAAATAATAATAATAATAAATAAGATAAAATAAAATAACAAAATCTAAATAATTTAGAGTTACGAGTTACAAAATAAAATTTAAATGAGTTTAGATGGCCTTAAGTCCGAATAAACAGGGGTTTTTAGATACAAATTTAGTGCAGTGGTGAGCGGGGTGTTACATTCCCCTCACTTAAAAAATTTGGTCCCCAAAATTTGTTTCAAATAGATCTAGGAACTTTATTATGGGGATTATCTTGTTGCATAAAACTTTGTCGGTCCAATCAAGAATTTTCACTAGAAGTTCTTTGTAAGTCATATCGTATTGTACCTGCATCTCATCGCGAGGATTGATATGAGAAGGGTCAGGGTGGTACCTTTTGAGCATGGAGACGTAGAAAACATTATGTAGACTCAGAAACTCTTGAGGCGAAATAAGCCAGTATGCCATGGGCCCAATACACTCCGCGATCCAAAAAGGTCCCAATAACAGGGGCCAAATTTTTCTCTTTTCCCAAACTGCATTTCTCCCTTGTAGGGAAAAATCTTAAGGAAGACTTGGTTTCAAACAATAAATTCAAGGAGTCTTCTACGATTATCAGTGTATCTCTTTTGGTGACTCTGGGTGGTAGCCAAGTTCCTACGGATGATTGCAACCTTCTTAATAGTCTCATCGATGAAGTCTGGTCCCAAATGACGCTGGTTTCTGATTTTGCTCTAGCAAGTGGGAGAACGGAAGGGCCTACCGTACAGGAGTTCATATGGAGTTATGCCGATACTAGAATGATAATTGTTATTATAAGTAAATTCACATAGAGAAAGATACTCATACCAGTTATCGCCAAAGTCGAGGACGCAAATGCGCAATATATCATATGAGGGAACTGTCATTCTTTTTCACAATTAACATCGGAGCACCCTAAGGGGAGTGACTAGGGCAAACAAACTTGAGCTCAGCACGACTCATGCGATAGATAGGTTTTGAGATTGGTTATGTTCCAGGAATCAATTCGATAAAAAACTCTATCTCACGCGGGGGAGGTAGACCAGATAATTCGATTGGAAAAACTTCGGGAAAGTTACAAACAATGGGGATAGAATAAACAGCAGGATCAGCATCCATATTCCTGTCTATTTAATTGTTCGGGAGAAAAATAGATTTTATTGCTTTTTTGGAGTTTGTAAGGTCACAAATTTACTTTTACAATCAATAATTGTCCTATACGTTTCTTACCAATCCATTCTTAGAATAACGTCAAAACTTGAGAAATCTAAGAGTATTAAGTCTATAAATACATCTATTTTTAAAGCTTTCATCTTACCATTTTCATACACACAGTGAGCTTATAATAATCCCTTAGAGGGAGTCTCTATAGTTAATATTACTTTTAAAGGTTCAAGCCTAACATCTAATTTACAAGCAAATGCACAAGAGATAAAAGAGTGGGTAGCACCTGTATTAATCAAAGTATACCCTAGATAAGGATAGGAGTGGGGAGGGAACCGGTTTCATCTAGGTGGTACGCATGACCTTAGGCTATAGGTCTTGCCACGTCTTTTTGCCATTATGGGCAGTCCTTTATAAGGTGTTGGGTGCTTCTACACTAATAGCAGGCGTGATTGATACATCGACAAGGTAATTCACCATGTGAGTGACCACAATGCTGACATGGTTGGGAAGGTTAGACAGGCTGTCCAACAGGTGGAGGTAGAGCAGGGGGAAGCGCAACTCAGGTTCGTTTATCGAGGTGATCACTTACTAGATGGGAAAGTCTTCTTCTGTGTTGTTGTTGTTGGGTACAGACTTGGGCAATACGTTAGTGCCTGGCCAAGATGAGGTCTTTGGCCAACTGGACATGTTCTAGCATCTTGGCATACAAGCTGGGTAGCTCAGCATCGCAACCCGATCATAGATATCGGCACAAAGGCCTTTTAGAAATTTCCTAACTTTACGACTTTTGGGGTTGACCATTAGAAGAGCAAACCTAGACAGTTGTACAAATCGCGCTGCATATTAGGCAACTATTAGATTTTCTTGGCGAAGGTCCTGAAATTTCTCCTCCTTCTCTCGGACATAGGTTAGGAAAAAGTTATCAAATAATGCATCCATTAAAACTTATCAAGTGGTAAGGGTAGGTAAGACTTTCTTTTTAAGTCGCCACCAGTGTTCTACTTTACCGATTAGCATAAAGGCTATTAGGCGAACTTCTATTCCTTAGTCAGGTCTTGGATAGAGAAAAGCTTCTCTATCTGTAGGATCCAAGCTTCGGCTACTAAGGGATCCGGGCCACCTTCAAAATGTGGCAGGTTAAGCTTTCCAAACTCTACTATGTTATGAGAAATAGACCTCTTAACTTTTTGGTATTCTAGGGCAGGAGGTGGACAAGTGTTGGCTTGATATTGTCCTACAGCTACAGTGAATCCTTAGATGGCTTAGAAGAGTTTGGCAAATTCAGCCCTGGTTGGATGATTCGGGGCTTCAGATCACTTGGTACGCTCTACGGATGGTCTTTCTCGTGTTATTCCTACAAAAAAAGGAAGACACGAATTGGTGGTCTAATTTTGAAAAAGAAGACTTATTCTTCCTAGGTATTCTAAGGGTCTTATTACCTACAACCTCAATTGTAGGGATTTGATCTGCGTAATCTGCTCTGATACCATCTGTGATATCTCAAATGCTAATTAAGTCATATGACTGTCATATATAGAAATAGATAACGAGTGCATGATAAAATTTTATGCAGCGGAGAAAATTAATACAAATTTTTTACAAATATATGAGTTCCAATTACATATATATATATAATTGAGGCTAGAAGTGGCTGTAAAATACATTGTCAAAATACAAAAGAGGGCCACTTCTATCATCATACTATTGGACTCATCAGAGTACGGAGATGATCATGTACTCAAATTTTTCGAATCCACGGGATCCTCATAAACTTCAATGGGTAGATCAACTGGCGGTTCCTCATTCTCTTCCTCATCTGGGGGGGCATAGAAAGAGTGAGTTCTATATGCTCAATAAGGAAAATAGTATTTAAATAACATCATAAGGTTTTAAAAGGTGAATTATTTTAACATAAACACTTACCATTTGGTTACGCCGTATTCCTATCTTACCTTATGAAAATAATTTATTTATTTAAGAAAAACATCATGTTATAGCCAACAATCTAAATAAAACACACAACATAAGAAAATAATAAAGAAAATCAAATAAATCATGAAATACTCATATTTTTGTGTCATTCTTCACGAAGTCATTACAACTTCCATCTCTGAAGGAAGATATAGATTTTTGACTACCCATGTGGAATGACCAGATCAGATACAGATAACGGTGATTTTCTCAAAAATATTTCTGACTTAATAATGGCACGATCTATGACCACAGCCGGACCAACCATAGTGGTCTTATCAGATATTCTATGGTCACAACAGTACTTAGGCAAATGTGACCCCTAACAGATATTCGTGTCACTACTCTCGTCAGATGGTACACTGTCATCCATATGGAGTGGTCCTCTTACGTCTTTCCAGACTAGATGGGGGAGGGAAAAAATAGATACCCCTCAAAGATAAAAAGGCTAACGAGAAACTTGATACGTTATGCATACCAATATGGATATATACTTCAGAATTTGTTCTGTTTATTTTTCAGATACCCTTACTAGTTTCATCTTATTATAATTGCATGCAAATCATCAAGCGTCTACCACTTACATAACATGCTTGAAATCAAGAATAATTCAATTTATTAAGCCTACAAATATAAAACATGCAATAATAGGAAAAATCACAAAATTATCAATTTAATCTTTTCTTTTTGTCTAAAAATACCCCTTAAGAGGTTTAAAGAAATATTAAATTTCTTACCAAAATCTTGATAATTTCTTCTACACCGTCCTTCCTTTCTTCCTATCCTTCTCTCTCTAGAACACTTTCTCTCGCTCTCTAATTATTGAAAGGTGGAAGAATGGAAGTGTGAAGAAAATTGGAAGGAAGGGCCCCTATTTATAGAAAATGGGAGCCATTGGATTTGCATCAAGTGGCAATTCTAGTGAAGAGAGAGAAAAAAATGCTAAGCAAAAAAAAATGAGGAAGAAGACCTCCTCCACTAGCTGCAGCGCCAGGAGCGTCGACGCTATAAGCAGCGATACGTCACCCGAGGTGGGTGGTGGCACACTGCCCAAGGCGGTAGTGGTCTCACCCGCCTTGCGCATAGGCCCCAAACGTGCAGACCTGTCCGCGTAGGCTTGTTGTACGGATGGCGCGCTCACAATGTGCTACACCTACCAATCCGTGTATGATGTGACACACGCGGATGAGTCCTGCCTATGAATGATAAGACACACGTGCAAGCTTATCATGCGCCGCGCACGACGGGACGTGCACATTGTGGGCACGTCCTGCGCCTGCTGTGCGCGCAGCGCACAAGCGCCCATGCCGGCAGCCCACTCCCGTGGGATTTTCTCATCAGATTTTCCCCCCGTTTTTTGTATTTCTAAAAATCATTTATTATTTATTTTTTCTTTTGTTTTAAATGATGATTAAATAATCAAATCAAAATAAAATTAGATAAAATAAAATAAAATAAAATTCAGTAAATTTTATAAATCACGAAAATAAATTACGAAAAATAATAAATAGAAATTTTCAAATACAAATTAAGCAAAGTGGTGAAAGGGATGTTACACTCTCCTCTTCCCGCTTGCAACTTCCACCAAGACTAAACCCTCTCAACTCTAAACATAAAAAAAAATGTTAAATGAGAGAGAAAAGAGTTTTCCCTAGGTAACCAGAATCCCTGATTGTGGAAGTATTATTGTTGCACCTTCAAAAAATGGATGCACGCCTAATTCGCTTCAAGAATTTGAACCTCTAGATGTCAGACAAGCTGAACAGGGTGGAGGAGCTAACCCAACTCGTAATGATAGCTATGAGGGCCGGCCCTCAACCCAAGAAAAAATGATGATTTCTTGCTTTACCCCATCTCCAGGACAAGTAATGACGGGAGTTCACCTGTTCTTTTTACTTTTTATTTTGATAATTATTTTTAACACATTGGAGATAATGTGTGGTTTAAGTGTGGGGGGGGGGGAGCATTCTACATTTTGGGTAGCTCTTTTAGTATTTTGTTCAGTTATTTCTCTTGCATCCCCCTTTCTCTATGATACTTATCACTGTTTATTTTGACTTTACCTAATTTTTTATCGCACCACAAATACACTTTCAACATATTTTTAGCTCCAACATTCACAACTATCTCAATTATTTTAAAAGTACTTAAATGTGCTATTTTGAAAATCAAATTGCAATTACAACTATTTCTAGGAATTATAGCTTGTTTTTTATATTTTCATACAATGAATAGTTATTTTTTATTATGTGTCTTAAACATGACTTGTTTGGGGATTGCTCATAAAAAATCAATTTTCTCTTATCATTGAGTGAATACTAGTGCTTAAGAAGAACTCTACTATAACTTATCATGATTTATGTATCTAGAATTTTATGGTTCATGTCTAAGATTAAGAAATATGAAAAGAGAGAAAAAAAAAAGAAAAAGGGAGCACAAAATAATCTACTCCTCTAGTTAAATGAAATTGTGACCAACTGAGTAACCAGGTGCATTCATCACAAATGTTTGCCCTCACATCAAAAGATTAGTAACATTTCAAGATAGCCATATGACTTTGAGTAGAGTTATTAGCCACTTAAAACTGTGACCAATTGAGTAACTAAATGCATGCATCACAAATGTTTGCCATTGCGTCAAAAGGTTAGTGACATTTCAAGCAAGAAATAAAAGTGTTCAAGTTAGTTACAAATTGATTTTCTATTTTTTTTAGTATGAACCAAATGCATGAAATCTCTATGTTTGGATAGGTTTGGTGGTTGTTCTGCTATGTATTAATTTTTCATCTCATTGAAAATTATTGTGTGCTAGAATTTGCAATACTCTCTCATGTCGTGTTTGGATATTAGTCAAAATGATTATTCATTTGTGTGGTTACATGAAATTTTATTCTAGGAACTACTAGTTGACGGTTGTCTTTTCAATTTGAAAATTAAGATATAATAAATCGACTTGTGACGGAATGATTGGGAATAGATGGGTTGAAGGTGAAGAGTTGAGAGTTGGAGATTTCTATTAAGTGGTGCTTGAGGGCAAGCACAAGATAAGTGTGGGGGAGTTTGATAGTATGCATAAATTTCACTTTTATTGCTTAGACTAAATGCATATTTGAGTCACTTACTATCTAACTTAAGGGATTTCGCTAATTTTTTATGCGAGTGGGAAGATAAGACTTAATATAAAAAAATCAGTATAACAAAACTAATTCAACACAAAGATTCCTCATACGCACTTAAGCCTTGGACAAGGCTTACACCTTAGTGGCGATAGTAGATATTAATTTTTCATACATGGTTAAGCCTAAGGCAAGGCTTGCAGCCTAACAGCTCCAACACCTATTAATCTCTCAAGATTTTTTTAAATTCAAAGAAAAGAGCAAAGGGGGAACTAAGTAAAAAGGACACTTTTAAAAATAGAAAGAGGCCGAAATCAAGGGAATAAAAAAACCTAGTTGCACACGATTTCACTCTTTAAGTAGAGGTAGAAAAAGAGAGCAAAAAAAGAGAAGAGGAATATGAGTAGATTTTCCCTTTGTTTTTTTGTAATCTTTTCTTTTCGTACTATGTGATTGCTGATGTAATAAACCCACTATGAACAGCTAGATACTCCTACTTTCTAATTAAGGATTTGATTGAAGTTTCAATTTTAGGGTTGTAAGATCTAATTGCTCTATGTTTGTTCTTTCTTGTTTTCAATATTTATATATTCTTCTGTGCATACAAAAATTATTGTTTGTTATTCGTTCAACAGGACCCGTTGTGCATCTAGCATAATAGTAAATTACTATTTGGGATTTTTGAATCTGTAATTGTTTAGGATATCCTAATAAATAGGAGTAAATTAGTGTTTGCACTAAGAATATACATAATCTATTCTGAATAAATTGTGCGGTTGAGTTTATTGGTTAGGGTCAGGTCTTCTTATTTCATAATGATATTAGTGAATTAAATTCTAGAAGCATCTCCAGAGTTGTTCACTAGCAAGGGTTAATAAACGAGTGTCTCTTGGTTAATTTAAGATTAATGACAGATTGGTTATTAAGAGCAGCTCCAATAACTAGAACTGGTCTATTGAAAATTGGTAAGAATTATTTTTGCATCAATGATCAATCCTGTATATTGAAACTAATATTTTTCCTTTGATTGGAACCTATTCATAATTGATTCTCATTTTACTTAATTTGTTGAATTATTTTTTGCCAATTTTATTTAATTGACTTTTATCTGCTGATTTGTTTTAATCCATTGGTTGTTTAATTTCAACTCAAGACAAAAACCTTTTTTTTATGTTTTAATCCATTGATACAAGTAAAGGCTAGAGGCTTTTGTTTAGGAATAAATAATTAAATAATTTAGCAAAACTCAAAGCAAGTAGAATATAAAATAATTCAGCAAGGTAATGTAGTGAAAACTAATTATGAGAGAGCTCTAGTTAAAGAAGTAATATTGGTTTCAACTTGCATGATTAATCATTGATGCAAAGGTATTTTTTACAATCTTTCAATAAACGGGTTCTATTTGTTGGAAATGTTCCTAACAACCAATCTTAATCCTATATTAACCGAGAGATGCTCATTGATATTCTCCTTGTTAATAAATAACCTCAGAGATGCTCTTAAAATTTAGTTTACTAACAACTTTAAAAGGTTAAAAGACCTGATTTGTAACACCTCGAAAACCTTTGTGCTTAATTTATAATTGTGAACCCCTATTTATTTGGGCCCTAAGGCCACTTAAACTCTTTAGATATTCTGTGATTTTAATTTTCGGATAAATATCGTATTTTATATTTTAAATTTGTATTTTTTAAATTTATTTAAATGATTATTATATTTGTATTTTATAT